GGGGTTTGGGGTCACTGGGAGGGGGTTTGGGGTCACTGGGACAGTGTTTGGGTCACTGGGATGGGGTTTGGGGTCACTGGGATGGGGTTTGGGGTCACTGGGACAGTGTTTGGGTCACTGGGACAATGTTTGGGGTCACTGGAACAGGGTTTGGGGTTACCAGGATGAGATTTGGGGTCACTGGGACAGTGTTTAAGGTCAGTGGGACAGTGTTTGGGGTCTCTGGGACAGTGTTTGAGGTCACTGGGATGGGGTTTGGGGTCACTGGGAAGGGGTTTGGGGTCACTGGGATGGGGTTTAGGATTAGTGGGACAGTGTTTGAGGTCACTGGGACAGTGTTTGGGGTCACTGGGACAGTGTTTGGGATCACTGGGACGGTGTTGGGGTCTCTGGGACAGGGTTTGGGGTCACTGGGCCAGTGTTTGAGCCCCCCATGTCCCCCGTGCCGGCAGAGCCGGAGCCGGTGCAGTCCCAGGTGAGCAAGACGGGCAAGTACGTCCCTCCCAGCCTGAGGGACGGCGCCAGCCGCAGAGGGGAGTCCATGCAGCCCAACCGCAGGGGTAAGAGCCGCTCCAGGGGCACCCGGGGGGGGCTTTGGGGACCCCCCCTGAGCCCCCCCTGACCCCCGGGTGCCCCCCCAGCCGACGACAATGCCACCATCCGCGTCACCAACCTGTCCGAGGACACGCGCGAGACCGACCTGCAGGAGCTCTTCCGGCCCTTCGGCTCCATCTCCCGCATCTACCTGGCCAAGGACAAGACCACCGGACAGTCCAAGGTGGGCAGGGGGTCCTTGGGGCACTGGGGGGGTCCAGGGGAGCCCCCTCTCCCCCCCGATCCTTCCTCATCCTCCTTTTTTGCCCCCCGAAAAGGGCTTTGCCTTCATCAGCTTCCACCGGCGCGAGGACGCCGCCCGCGCCATCGCCGGCGTCTCCGGCTTCGGATACGACCACCTCATCCTCAACGTGGAGTGGGCCAAGTACGGGGGGCCCGGCCCTGGTTGAGGGGTCCCTGTCACTGCTGAGAGGGGCTTGAGGGGGCCCTGGCACTGTTTGGGGGGTCCCTGGCACTGTTTTAGGGGTCCTTGTTACTGTTTGGGGGGATCCTGGCCTTGTTTCGGGGGCCCTGACACTGTTTAGGGGTCCCTGACACTGTTTGGGGGATCCTTGTTACTGTTCGGGGGGGCCCTGGCCCTGTTTGGGGGGATCCTGGCCTTGTTTTGGGGGTCCCTGACATTGTCTGGGGGGTCCTTGTTACTGTTTGGGGGTGTCCTTGTCTGTTCTTTGGGGGGCCTTGGTGGGTCTCTGTCTGTTCTGGGGAGGTTTTGGGGGGTCCCTTCCCTGACCACCCCCTTCCTTTCTCTCCCCACAGACCCTCCACCAACTGATCGGGCGCCGCTCCCAGCGGGATCCCAGC